GCTAATAAATATATGTGTTATAATATTTCGGCATGCCGTTTAGCACGATTTTAGTTTTTATGGGCATTGGGTGGGTCATATGCTGTGGCTGATTCTAGTGAGATTCTTCCTGGCGCTAACGAATGGTGGGTCATACGCTGTGGCTAATTCTAGTGAGATTCTTCTTGGCGCTAACGAATCGTTATATGGATGATTATTTCGGCGCGTCTAACTTAGGAGTTACATAGTTATTAAGACATATCTTCTCGGTTTTGAGTAGGTTGCTAGTTCCCAATAGACCACTCCAAAGATGTAGATACAACTTGGGAAATAATTGTTTTAGGTGTTTGAGTGCAAATCTTATGGAAGCAGCAATGGGTTTTCATTCACGTTAGCCATAACAATACCTAGAAATATAGGGCATTGCTTCAATATATACTGGATTGCCAGGAACCTGTGGCGGGAGAAGCCTCCAAAATGGCAAGGAGATTAGGGTTTAAAGGGGGTTATGCTTACATCAAGCCTTTTCATGCGTAAGCATAACCAATCCATAAAAGACATGTTGTAATTCTAGAATTCTAATTAGATATTCGGTTTACCATGCTAAATAACTTCCGGAAGTGGAATCTTTTTTTGGAAAACGAAGGTATCCTCTTAGAAAGGTTTCTTTTATAACAATACTCTTAAAATTGGATTTGGTAATCGTTTCTTTCTAATAATATGTCATACAAAGCCGTAGGCATTTGCATGCGAGTAAACAAAAACAGCCCTTGGCGCCGGCAATCCTATTGGTATAGGACACATTCTTCCCTTCGTAGCATAATTCTAGCATTGCTAATTACTAACTTCTTTGAGCCAATGTCCGAGCAGAGTTCAACAAAATAAGCTCGTATATCCCAGTAACTCATATTTATGACCATATGTCCTTCACCTATTCGGGTCAGTGTAACTTTGCGCTCAATCTGGCAAGCGCAGTGAGATCTTCGCATATTGGCCCGTCTGCCACATTTCGCAGCGCTTTTCACTATCTACATAGGAATGTGTCTCGGAACTACCTCCACTTCCTTTCAGGAGAGCATGTAAAATAGAATTGTTGTCCACAAAAACCATCCACGTAGCCTCGCAAGAATGGGCCTAGTAAATGACTTGGGCATGGCGGTTGAAGGATGCAAAGACATTACACACAAAGCTTTATGCGGCAGAGCGTATAAACGTGGATACTTCGATTTTGAGCGCTAATAGCGCCGGATTTATCTTTAATGTTAACCGGGTATGGGGATTGTTGCCTAATGAGTGGCAACGTAGAAGACAGACCTTGCTGTTGTCTCAGAAAGCTCAGGCCAAGAAAAAGGGTGCAGGGCAGGACAAGGCCTTACGACCATTTGCGGGCCTTAGAGCTATGCCTTCGAAGTAGCGGTTATGAAGCTAACAGAATTTCTCTAGGATGTAGAAGAGTCTGCGTTGGTTAGTGTATGGCAGCTTGATATAACGGTGCTCTTAATGAACAGTGATTTTCAAGACCCCATTCATTTGGTAGGGACATGTCCAAAATAGGTCGCCAACCTGGCCATTTATGAGAAGGTCCGGACGCTTCTTATATCCGTAGTGTCGGCCATGAATAACAAGCTAACAAAGGAAAAACACTCTTACCACTAACGGGGCAGTGGCTACGCTACCAGCGATATTAATAGTTAAAAGCCTAAAGAAAACTAACATGGACATTTCCATAATTTGCAATAGTCTATTGTTGATTTGCAAGTAATTACAGCAGTTGCCGTCTAACGTGGCCCGTAAGCAGCTTGAGAGTGCAATCTCTTCCCTGAAGTTGTAGACACGAATAGGTTCCTTAAAGTGTGTGACGTTAGGGCTTCGTCTTTAGTATACGTTTGCTTGCGTAGTGTTGGACTATTCGGAAAACAATTCTCTTCCCCCCAAGTGTACGAACGATATGTCCGTGTTTGTGACAATTTTCGGAAATCCAGGAATTATCCGAAATTACATGGGGTATTTGAAATGGGCGTGCGAATACATATCCTTGTCCTTGGAATGGTATAACGGTAAACTCAAAATGATTTTGCAGGGGCTCCGCAAGCAATATGTGGCATCAAAGGCAAGCGCTTTGACTAGGCCTAGACTGATACACGAAGATTTGCTAACACGTCTTCTCACCTTAGCCGATGACATTGATTTATTCAGCCAGCTAGGAGATATATTGTTCTTGAGTTAGCAACTTCTACTAAGAATTTAGAATGAAGACTTGCCTTTAGAGTAGGACGCTTTTGAAGATATGCATAATTTGCCTCCCGAAAAACATTCCGTAATGTTTAATGATCCCGCCAACACTTTGCATTTGCGATTGCGTTAGCAAAAGCATCGGCCATAGGGTTCCTTGTTGGTTAGATCGTGTGTGTGCGGGCCTGTCCAGCGGAGCCCGCTATGTGGGGCACCATCTGGCTGTGCGGCTAGGGCAATTTTCCCGCGGCCAACGACTTTTTACTTTGATATAGTCTATGGCACTAACTCGTTTTCGTAACATGCTCAAGTTATTGCAAATTCCTGATCATAAGGGGTTCTTATTCAAGTGTTTGCGGACCGGAAAGGCAGCAGCTCTGGCTCCTTTTCCAGGTGATGCAGGCAGGAGAGTGTAGATCTTCCGCAGTGCTCGCGTATGCAGATGAAGATGAATTCGACAAAACTGCATTTCTCAATGTAATTTATGACTCAGGTAATTCGTGATGTAGACGGCTGAGCATCAAATTTTCCAGTGCGCCGATGGGTATCAGTTTGTTATGACGATGGGAATAGGCACTAGTCTTTTCCTAGTGGCAGCAACCCAAGATTTGGCACATCGTATATGTCGGCTGTTATTTTTACACTTCCAGTCTTGATATTTGTGGGTAGCCTTGTGATATGCTGTCTAGGAAAGACGATTGCCTTGGTTATGTCTATATCAAAAGGCGTGCTAAAGAGTAATTCAGTCTATAAAGGCAATAATTATAAATATTAATCCGTAATATTTAGGTAACAATATTCAATTTAAAAATTATTAAAATATATTATTAATATTTTTTTTAATTTTTATTTATTTATTTATATTTAGAAAATATATTATTTTATCTATAATTAAATTATTTAAATTTTAATATAATTTATTGTTTTTAGGTTAATTTAAAAAATTATTTTAATAATATATAAATATATTATAATTAATTTAAATATAATTATACAAAAATTAAACAATTCAACCACCTCAAAAAAATATATTTTAATTTATAAATATAATATATATAATAATTAATTTAATTCTTTTCTATATCTGTTTAATTCAAACAATCATAATTTATAAAATATATAATTAAATATTAAAAACTATATAATTTAAATTATTCATAATTAAATATATATGTTTTTAAATTAATAAAACAAATATTAAAATATTAATATAAAAATATTTATAAAATTAAATACTATAAATTATATATAATTATTATTATTTTTAAAAAAACTATTTAAAATAATTATTAAATTATTCTATAAATATTATATAATAATTATTATTATTATATCCTATAAATTTATAAAATTATAATATCCTAATTTTTAAAAAAGAAAATACCACAATATTATTATTTTTTCTTAATATAAATATAAATACATTTCTTTATTTAATATAATATCTAATTATAATTAAATAAATAAATCAATTTCTATATATTATTAAACAATAATATATAAAATCCTTTTAATAATACCCATCTACCCAAATAATCTCAAAATCTGTAATTTCACTAATTTATTATTTTTCTATATCGTTTTCATTCTTTTATTAATACCATATGCGAGGGGTCGTTATCAAGGAATGGGAAGGATTAGTGGGAGGGGAGAGTGAGCATGCTGGGGATGCTAGTGAAGGAAGCGAGGATATAGGTGGGGACGTCGGCAATTCTTGGGGGCGATTTACACGGCATTTTTTAGTTTTTGACGGTTGGGCAATATGGCATCAAGAGCCCGTCGCAAGGCCAGGGATGTCGGGGATGTTTGGGGGTCCAAATGTCTGGGCTAGCCTGCGTCTGGGTGATGCAGGGGATACGGAGGAGGAGCTTCTGGTGATACAAACCAAGTCAGCGGTACACTGACCGGGTAGGGTTGCCCTTTCTCTTCCAGCTCGCAGACACACAGCGCAGCTGGATTACCTTTGCAACTTGCAACCTTAAAAAACATAACTGTTGTATGTTTAGAAATTCACACACACACACAGCACCCAGACCAGCAGCCAGCACCTGCCGCAAGAACCAATTCATATTACTGAAGCTATCTGAACAAATCGCCCGCAGCATCACCAGCACCTCAAACAGCACCCCAAGGCCCTGCGCCAGCACCCCAAACTGCATGCTCCCTAGCACTCTCGTCAATCTCGCAAAGCGTCACCAGCACCTTCAACTGCATCGCGAAGAGTACCCCAATAGCACTCCCAAGCACCCGAACGTCAATCTCGAAAAAATGCGTTGCCAGCACCTCAAAGAGCTCTCCGAAGCAGCGCCTGCGCTACCACCCTAGCACTTTGCAAAAATGCGCCTGCATCGTCACCAGCACCTCAAATACCCCAAACAGCACCCCAAAACCACCACCTGCAGCAGCACCCGCCCTGGCGTCAAATCTCGGAACTGCATGCTAGCATCCTGCCATTAGCATGTCTTTTATAGCCCCTGACAGAGCCTTATTATTACTGATGTTTAAGCAGAATGTGGGTGAGCGTAGATCAAAGTTACGCGCTTTCGCTATCTTCTAGTACAAGTCGATGATTGATGCTGGCGCGCAGGTGCTGTTTGACGTGCTGGCCACAGTGCGGGCGCAGCAGGGCGCTAACTTCAACTGAATTGAATGCCTGCTGTTGGATTCAAAGGCGTGATGGTGTGCCTGTAAGGGTTCATGAGAACAGTGTTCAGCAAGAAGAGATATCGAGAAAGATTGTGATGTGCTCTTCAAGCGCTAGCATGTGGACACATAGCGCAAGCCTTTTGTCATCGCGAAGGGTCGCCGTCATGATCATCTTCCTCTTGGACATCGTATGCTTCACGAATAGCGCGATAAATCTCTTCCTGGCACGGCAGGGGAAAAAACAACACAAAAAAACACAACAACAAAAACAACGCTGCCATGCGAAGAGGTTTGTCCTACCAGGGCAGGCCTCTAAGGTTGAGAAACCAAAAAGGACATGGAAGAAACCAACGGCGTCTTTTCCGCAAGCAAAACACGGGTCCTTGGGCTGGCCGCTCGCCACCAACTCAGCGATCATCGCATTGACAGTGGCACGGCGCTCCGGCTGCTGTGGCAGCCCTGCGGCGGGGTTCCACCACCTCAGTCTCATTCGGCTTTCGGCTTTCTTTTGAAACTCCGATCTAAAGACAAACCAAAGCTTTGCATATTGGACCCTAGCTCCTGAAAGGAATCACAAGCTCGCTGGGCTGGGCTCCTGACTTGGCCTTCCATTTGCTAGAGCTCACATAGCCGTAGAACTCCTCATCAGCCACAGGTCCTGAGGGGAGAAACCCGCAGGCGCAAGGCGCTGCAAGGCGCTGCAAGCGTTTCGGGGCCTGCTCCAGGAGCCCATGTCCATTCTCTGGTCAGGGTGTCTTCCTTACTCGCTTCCAAAGACGGAACGAATCCAGACGAAAAGGAGACGGAACGATGAATCCAGGACATTCCAGGACATTCCAGGACACCGGGACAGAGTCCTCAAGGTCCAGATCCTCCTCCACGACGCTGTGATCCCAAGAGCCGGGTCTGGGCACGCAAGAGAAAGGCCCTTTGAGACTTTCAAACCCAGAGAAACCTGTGCCCTGTGAAAAATGATTGTCTTCTCTTGTCGAGCCACCGGCGCTGTGCAAATCGCAAGTCATCTTGCCGCGGCGCTAAACGGTAGCGAGGCCCCGGAGCGCCCTGCATCGAGCTGGAGCTAGACGGATTCTTTGCAAGTTGAGTGGACGCTTCGCGACAGGCTATCTAACATATCCTAACATTGGATCACCTAAGATTCTTGCAATTCGAAAGCTTTCCCTTTCTTTTCTGCACACCCCAAAGGCGCCGAAGTCAATACAACAAATCAAAAGCCATGGCTTCATAGGTTCCGCACCTTGCTTCGCAGCGCAGGTATACGCAGCAAGGATCTGCTCATGGCTGATGGCTGCTCTTAGCTCTGCGCTCGAACTGTCACATGCTGCTGCGCCTACTAGGCAACGCAAGCCCAACTGTGCTTCGGCTCGCCCGAACAAACCCACGCACACACACGCACAGGAACAACAATGAAACACTCACCTGTCAACATAAGCTGAAGCGCTTACTCGAGTGCGCGGCGAAATATAGCACTGTATCTAAGTGCCGAAATTCTAAGGCTCTCAGAGCGCTCTCAGTGTGGTGCAAATGCATGCTGAAAGCAATCGCAGGAGCAACTTGCTCTATATTTTTGTTCGGCTCCGGCATCTTCATGCGAGGCAAAGGAAGCGGAGGTACACTCCCTTTCCACCCTTTAGAGGGCGTCAAATCCTTGGCTGAACATGCTCCCCCATAGAATCTGCATGCAGCGACGGAATTCGTCTCATCGGATGAAATGGCTCCCTCAATGAAGGTGCACAATGCTTGCAAATGCTTGCGAGCGTCGAACATTGCTCCGGGTCCGATCGCCACGCGAAGTGCCTTGGACAAGGAAAATGCCGAAGCTGACTAACGGCCGAATAAGTCGAATAACTCCACAGCAAAATAGGGCAAAGGGGCTGTGCGATAGCCTGCAGAATCGAAGGTCACCCGGGCAGCTTGCGCATCTCCAAAGAGGCATTGCGCAAGCTGCCAGCGCTCAGCTTGCTCTTGTAAACCTCTCAAAATCCGCAAGCTAGGACACTTCGAGGCAAGACACGTGCGCCAACGTGCGCCTTGATCAAAACTTCTTGTCATTGTACAAGATACGGTCGCCATGGGCATCTCCATTTGCTAAACCCCCACCATCCGTATGCATACGATCCAACCCCAAACAAATATTCGAATGGGGCAACAGCTCGGCCTGCCAGCGCTGTGTAGGCGACCCTGTTGGGCTCCACGCCGCAGCAGCGCGCGTCCTGCAAAATCCTCGCGCACAACGAGCCTTCATGCTTGTAGACAACTTGCGTGGCAAAACAAAGGAAGAAACTCAGGAGGGCTTGAAAGGGAGATAAACCCAAGCACTTCAAGGGATCCAAGCCTTCAGATTCGCCTTGCACGTTTTTTCTCCAGTCGGTCCGCGTTGCACGTCTCCAGCCCGCAACCTGGTCCGCCGCATCCGCGGCCATCATTGCCATCCTAGGCAGTTGAGTGGAAACGAGCACTGTACACCCCATCCTCTTTGCACCCGATACTTGGATGCGCTCTACACTAGGAAGACGACATGCCTTGAAATAGATGGAATGTTCTGCACAAACCAAGCGACCAAGTTCCCAACCCCTGGTATGTTAGCAACGCGCTGTGTTCTTGTCCGCCCAAAAAAAAAGAGAAAACACACGAGCTCAACATGCCAACATGCATCTGCACAAATCAAACATGACCATGGGTCAAAATCCCGTACCCCAAGTGAACATCCCAATCCCGACTAAAATAGACTAAAAAAAAGGTGGTGAATTCACCTACCCCAAAATGGGATCCCAAAACGGTTTTGACAACCACAGCCATGTGCGGCCGAAGGTCGTGACGCTCAACACGTTGGGCTCCGCAGCGCCGAGGCGCTGCACAGCACGTAGCAGGCGCAAGGCGCGGCGCGGGCCACTAGGGCCAGCGAGGTCAGTGGCCAGCATGGCTGCGTTGAAGACCGCCTTAGCGCCCAATCTTTGGATGGATGACTTGATTGACTTGATTGATTTGTTTCTCCCCTCTTCTTCTTTACCAAGATCCATCTTTGGATTCTACTGCATGAATCCCCTTCTTTATGATTTGAAGAGAGCAGGTTCTCTTGCTTTAGCCTTTTGGGAAGCAACCCAACCAAACTTGCATCAACATACCCCCACAACAAACGAAGAGCCCTAGAACCACGCCCTAACCAATCCTCAGCCAAATCTATCTCCATTTAAAAATCGAGCGTAAACATGCAAATCCTGACCCGCTGACCTATGATGGACCCTCAACCACCCAGGCTTCATTGCAACCTTGTCATTGTGGCATGTGCTTCACCTTTCGTCACAGTCGTTGACCTACAGGCGAAAACTTGATTACTTGGTTGCCACGGCGTCGATGACGTCTCTGCAATGCTGGCTGCAGTGCTTCCTGAAGCGCCCCCCCTGCCCTTTCTCCACGGTCCTCCGCTTGTCGTGAGAGGAGGCCTCCTGATTGTGGTCGCGGCTTGTGGAGCCCCAAAGCTCCTCATTGATCCAGGGCGACCAGCGCGGGCGAACTGGGTCGACTGGAATCCTGCTCCAGTACACCAGTGGGGCTTTCCACCCGTTTTGCCACTGCCGCTGTGATGGCCGTGAACATTGCCTTCAAGGCCCCCTTTGACACAAGTGCTGCAAGTTTCATTGAAGACTTCATGACTTCTCTCCTTCTCCCACTTTAGAGGATTGGGTTTGCGCAGCCAGACAAGTGGAGCGCTCACCTTTCACCAAGCTGCGGTGCTCAAGGCACCTCCCTCGCGTCGCAGGTCGCCTTGGATTCTCGCGAGAGAGGATGCGCACACAAGCTTGTTGCTCTTCTGTGCAGCTTCAGATGCGAAACAGGGAGAGCACGGCGGGCCAAACGTCTCTGTTCAAGGCAGCTAGCATCACGCCTCCAGCCAGCGGCATAAGCCACACGCACGAGTCACTCCGTGCCTGTGTAAGCTTCAGCTCCAGTATCCAAAGACTCCCGGCGCATCTCTGAAAGCATTTGTGCCGCGCACATCCAGTGAGCTGCCTGCGGGAACGGCTTGAAAACTCAGCCAACCACGGCGCTTCACCTGTCCGGTTGCGGAGATGACAATGCGCCAGGAAGCCGCGTCTGTCTTCGCGTCGTCCTGATCGAACGAAAGGCAAAAAAGAAACTCAACGCAGTCACCCTCTTTGGTGGTCCTCTCGCATGCCATGTAGCACGTGCACAGCCCTGTGCCACTGTACCTTTGAGCATGCTCCGATCATCTCCAATCCAACTGGAAAGCCAGCATCCAAAAGACACATTTGCCGTTTCCTGCCGAGGCGCAGTGAAGCTCACGCCACTGGTGGACGACTCCAAGCCAGATGCGCTTGCCATAGTTGCCCCGTACAGAACCTATTCACGCATGGGACGCCTCTTTCATTCGCCCCGCTCGCTTGCTGGGCGCGTGGCCGCACCTGCCCGAAGGCCTAGGTCGTGCCAAGTCATGCAAAGATCGATGTCCCAAATCACATCTGCATATCCCAACCAAATAGAAAAATGCATGATACATTGGTTTCCACCCAGGTTGACCACGTATCCACTGATGCCATGCGCATTGCTAGCAACTGCCTTGTCTCTGGACATGTCGGAGATATCGCAGTGCGTGCATGCATTCCATCCATCGACCACTTTCGCGGCACGCGTTGAGCGTTTTTCTGTATAACCTGGGCTCAACTAAGACTGGATCACTCACGCCGACTGTATGCCGAGCCGCGTCAGGTCTGGAGGGATCCCTTCTTCCCGCACTGCCTAACTTCTTTCGCTGTCTCAGAAGCAAAAACTCATCTTAGGCTGAGGCAGCAAGCAAACCAACGGCAGATTGCCACTGCTTCTGCAATCCGTATTCAGTGATGGCCTGTCAGAGCAGTCACGTGCCTCACACGTTTCACATGCGTGTTTGTTGGCATAGGCAGAAGCGCTGCAGGCATTCAAGTCTGCTGGCCTGACTGCATAGCTTCAGTGCTGCAATCCATGGAGGGGCGTCGCCGGCCATGTGTCACATTGTTTCACGCTATAAACGCTGCCTGCTTGGACAAATTCGAGCTACAGCATGCTGTTTGGACCCGGTATGGGCTTTGCACCCCGGATACGGCTCCTCCAACCGAAATGTTCTTGAGCAGCTTTGAAACTGGCTTGAGGCCCCGCATTTGCAACGAGGCCAACGAGTCTCCGGAAAATCATGCAATGTGTGCATTGCGCCCGAGCAGATTGCGGGGGATTTTCTGGGAAGTTCGCCAGCTCTCGGGCTCAAAGCAATCACGAAGCGGACTCAGTCTTGCTCGTGAGTTGCCATGTGGGGTACCTTGAACAATGTTCGCACGGATTGATAAGGACTAAGCTTCCCTGGCCTCCGAGACAGCTCCGCAAACTCCTCAGCCTACGATTGCATATCCCACAGCAACAAACACATGGGAGCAAACCAAAGCTTGCTACTGACACAGGATCATTCCATCGCCATTCGACTCGCTACGCTCTCTTCCCTTGCGCACCGTCAAATGGAATGGGCCGCGCAAAGGATCCAAGCGCCAATAGACATCCGTCGAGGCGAGCCTGACACCGGCTTTCTAGTTCCGTGCCTTTCGATCCTTTCGATTGCGCACATCGCAAATAAGGGAAAGCCTTGCACACCCACAACTGAGCAAACGAGTCAGACTGGTTGCTCTGTTGTCGCTGCAGCCCAGATAACGAGGCCTAAGCTCTATTTATTACATTCCAGTCCATCCGGAGCCCGTACACTTGACACGAGGGAGAATAGGCTGTGACACATTAATCCATCGGATCTTCCTGGCTTGAACTCAGCTCCAAGAATGCCATACATGTAATACATAATAATACATATAACTATAGCCTAATCTACATATGTCAAAATGTCTTCAGCGCGCCTCTGCCTGCGCACTGCCACCCAGTGACCTCCAGCATCGTGGGACACCTTGCCAGGTGCTTCGTAGAGCAGCGCGCCTGCGCTCACCTCACTCATGCGTTTTCCTTTGAACGGGGCGAGCCAAACTATAGACACAAAACACCCTCTCTGAAGAAGTCATTCTGTCCGTTGCTCTTTGATTGTTTCCGGCCGGGGAAATTCTCCAGGGCACAAGAAACGGGATGTGTGTCCAGTGAAGCTTGCTTGAGCTTCACGCGCACATCTTTGAGAACTCTCGCGGCCGAGTCACATCGGCCAAGCTGTCCACCAGTTGGAACCTGGCAGCTTCGGCTCCAATTGGAGACTTCTTACCGTCAAGTTGAAAACGGTTCAGCATTTCCACCGCTCGGTTCTGAAAAGGATCTCTTCTGAAAGTTGCACATTGCACTTCGTTGCACGTGGTTGCACATGGTTGCACACTTGTGCCTTCCAGCCTCTCACATTGCATACTTCTGAGATGTCGCCAAGGAACCCCGTGTCTTGAATGCCAGCATTGATGATGCCCACCACTCCTGGGTGTGCAAAGTTGACACTCGACCACTCATGTAGCTTGAAGCGTCTGAGGAACAGAGTGAAGCAAAAGGCCAGGTCAGGGGCTGCAAGCGAGGCACTGGGTGCAGCAGATGGGTTCTGCCTCGGAGCGACAGATCCGTTCTTCCGAAGCCAGTAGCGCGCTTTCGGGCAAGACACCTCATTTCTCTGGACACGGGCAGCGGGGGCGCAATTTGGCAGCCAGCTGCCATGTTGACCGCTTGGCGCAAGCAGTCGTAATGTCGTAGCCCCGTGAAGACCGCGGCTTCCGGCGGCGGCTCCTTGCGGACGCCAGACTCAAACGCGCCGGGCCCGACCATCACTCTGTGCATCAAAGCCGCTTGCATGACCCCCAAGCCGTCTGGATGGCGAGAGGCAAAGCGAGTGCCACCAGTGCCACCTGCATCTTGCAATGGGCGGACGAGCCTTTTCGACCTGCCAACTTCTTGCCCAAGCGTGCCAAGCCTCGCGACTGCGCCAGCAGGTGCGCAATGGGACCCTGCGCAACCTGCGAGGCATGCAGTCAGCCTCCGGGATATCGGGCTCCTGGGCCTCTTCTGGAAACTTCCCCACCCTGTTCCGAGTCGCCTTCGCGAACCGTTCACGGCGGGCTCGAGACTCGAGTTGCGGCTCGAGACGCCTCGGCGCCCAGGCGCAGCAGGGCCTGCGCTGCTTGCTGCGCTCCATGGGAGGCCGCGTGGTGCAGCGGCGTGTCCCCACGGGCATCCGCGGCCTCACTCCATCTCAAGCAACACAACGAAACCCGAAACTTCAGCTGAGCGGCGTTCAACAAGGATCTGCAGCTGGGGTTGGCTCCGCACTGCTCCAAATAAAACACAGAGTTCTCCTGCAAAGCTAAAAGCAAACATCGTGTGGAACAAGGCACTCACGTCACTCACATCTGATCCATTTGGGAGCTCTCCTCTGCGGCGATATGTACAGGGAGCACATCCTCGGACTCACGGCCATTCAATCCCCTGACTTGCAACTTGACCTTACTTCATCCTATGTCCCGCTGAATCCCGCTGTCCCCGGGTGTTCCCCTGCATCTTGCCCGGTTCCCTACCCAGCTGACCCGCCCGGACACACACCTCGGATTCATCTGCTGCCAAGATTCGATGCCCTTGCGAAGCTGCGGTGTGTGGTCGTAGTCGAGGCTTCGATGGCGAGCTGCACGGCAAGAAGCGATAAACACAAGACAGTATGGAAGCTCCAAAGTGCACACCAGCTGCGTCAAGCGTTGCCAACCCATGGTTTGCGAAGGCATCTTTTGAGACGCCCATGTGCTGGACTGCATCACATCACGTGCCTTCAGAATTCCAGAAAAGTTCCTGCACTGTTCAAGTGGTTTTTCGATTGGCGCACCTCGCCCACTCAGCTTCTTTATGTAGCTCTCCTTGGCAACTCGTGAGCCCATGTGAGCCCTCGGAATCATGAGAACCCTTAGGCGGCAGCAGTGCCGACGCCATTCTTTGACCTCGAGACCATGTTGAGAAAACAAGCATCAGCCGAGGCCAGAAGGGCCCCCTCGATTCCAGTCCCTGCCTCGACAAAGGCACGTTCCATGGGCCACTTTGCAACCCATGATCCTTACGCATCGCACAGGACCCTGAGCTCTGCATTTCAGCTCACTGGATGCACCAATGCTGCACTGGTCTTGCCAAGCTGCAAATGACGCAGGCCGTCCACCATCTGCAGGAGCTGAAGCCCTCACAGACACCTCCTGCACTGAGGGTGATCTTTGCCTCGCATGCTGTCAAATCTGCCAATACTTTGTGCATGTCGCTACCGTTGCCCGTGCGCGTGCTCTTTTCTCTGCAGATTGCAGGGAGTTGGCGACTGGGAATGGTGGGCCCGTAATGTATAAGCATTTCTTTGCTCAAACTGTAGGTCATGATGGTCATGGTCTATCTATACTACTTGTTCTATATAATTATAGCACTCACAGCTAGATGTGAACTGAAGGGGATAGTTGTTGGATTTGCGTCGGGCAAACCCTGATTGGCTAACGTCTGGCGTCTGGCTGTGCAAGCTTCTTAGTTGCATACGCGAAGTGGCATGTGCAATTAATCTGCAGCCGTTTAGTTGGGCGGTGCGACACCCCGCACGCATGCTACCTTACTGTATGTATGTGTGTACGTGTATATATATATATATATATATGTATATATGTATGTATATGTATATATATATAACCATGTCTTGCAAGAACAGCTGAATCATGACCTGTTCTCGCCCAAGCAACTCCCAAATCCACGGAACAACTCCCGAAAAGACGGACTCGGAAAGGAAGTTCCCAATACATGCTTTGGCTTGCCACTCCAGAATCACCCCACCTATTTCCGGGGCCAAGTCTGTCTTGAGTCCAATGGCTTTCCAGCGGACCCTGTTGCTGTCTTGAGCTACGAATGTGCTAGCCCGGGATTCTAAAGGGGATTCCATTGCACTTGAACATCGAATTGAAAACAAAACACCAAACCCAACCCTTGCACGCAAGATCTCAGCTCCAGATTCACAAACAACTCAGATTCAGACTCAGCCCCAAACTGAAGCAACGCGTTGAAGGCCGAGTGCTGTTTGAGTTAGTCCCGTCTGCTTTTGCTAAGGCAGAATCCCAAAAACAAGTTCCATGCTTGCATTTGGATATTCGCGGCTGCTGCGCTTAGTTGCTTTCATTTCAGACTTTTGGGGTCTATGGCTGAGCTCGTGTCTGAGTACAAAGCCAGTAGAGAACGCAAATAACCCAATCTGACCTGTAGAGCAATTCAAAAGCAAGACGCAGTGGCGTGCTTCCTGCCTCAGTCCAGCAACTGATGCCAGGAGCAGAGCTGCGGCCACAGCTGTGTACCTCCAAGCTGCGGCGCCTCCATGTTTCATCAACTGACATCCTCCGAACTCCGAACTCCGAGCGGTCCGAGCGCGTGAGCGCACACGACTTCTGGAGGCCATCCAACCACCGGCACCGCGCAAACCCTCGCGCCAGTCTCCGCTTCGCCGGCTCTGCCGCGATCGCCATGGCCGGCGTGGCGAAAGCGCCGGCTCGGAGCTTGGCCCTGGGCTTGCCCTCACGAGCCGAGCGAGCGCCGAGCGAGCGCCGAGCGAGCGCCGAGGCGACTGAGAAGCTGAGAAGCTGAGAACCGCGCCACGGCCAAGCAAGGCCAAGGCTTCCCCGTACATCTGCTGCAGCTCTAAGAACTCCTCAAAGTCGATTCATGCTTCCAAGAAACCTTTGCGCTTGGGACGCTGACACTTACACGTTGCTCACAGTCCTGGGTGCTCTTGCCGCCCTTCGCGTCTGGATGAACCTTCTTCACCCTCTGCCTTGGATCTCAAGACGCACGCCCAACCACACGCCCAAATGCATCAACCCAGACACAGACAGACAGACAGACAGACAGACAGACAGACAGACAGACAGACAGGCAGGCAGGCAGGCAGGCAGGCAGGCAGGCAGGCAGGCAGGCACAGGCAGGCAGACACAGGACAGACAGACAGACAGACAGACAGACAGACAGACAGACAGACAGACGAGAGAGAGAGAGACAGACAGACAGACAGACAGACAGACAGACAGACAGACAGACAGACAGACAGACAGACAGACAGACAGACAGACAGACACAGACAGACAGACAGACAGACAGACAGACAGACAGACAGACAGACAGACAGACAGACAGACAGACAGACAGACAGACAGACAGACAGACAGACAGACAGACAGACAGACAGACAGACAGACAGACAGACAGACAGACAGACAGACAGACAGACAGACAGACAGACAGACAGACAGACAGACAGACAGACAGACAGACAGACAGACAGACAGGCAGACAGAGACAGACAGACAGGCAGGCAGGCAGGCACAAGCAGGCAGAGAAACGACAGACAGACAGACAGACAGACAGACAGACAGACAGACAGACAGACAGACAGACAGACAGACAGACAGACAGGCCGACAGAAAGACAGACAGACAGAGAGACAGACAGACAGACAGACAGACAGACAGACAGACAGACAGACAGACAGACAGACAGACAGACAGACAGACAGACAGACAGACAAGACAGGCAGACAGGCAGACAGAAAGACAGACAGGCAGGCAGGCAGGCACAAGCAGGCAGAGAAACGACAGACAGACACACAGACAGACAGTCAGACAGACAGACAGACAGACAGAGACAGACAGACAGACAGACAAGACAGACAGACAAGACAGGCCGACAGAAAGGCCGACAGGCCGGCAGGGGCAGGCAGACAGACAGGCAGACAGACAGACAGACAGACAGACAGGCCGGCAGGGGCAGGCAGAGAAACAGGCAGGCAGGCAGGCAGACAGACAGACAGACAGGCCGGCAGGCAGACAGACAGACAGGCCGGCAGGGGCAGGCAGAGAAACAGGCAGGCAGACGGCGGTTGTCGCAAATTCTTGTCCCACAATGGTACGTTTGTGTTGTGTTTTGTGGCGCCTAACTAGCCAAAAACAAACATTACAGCCAGCGGCCGGATTGTTTCTGACAAGCTTCACCAGCTAACATATGAAGCTTAGTCAAACACGGCAATCTAGGCAACCAGTCTGTTGGTCATACTTGCGCGACTCGCCGCGTGGAACTCGCCCTCGCAGAACTCTGCGCGTCGAATCCGCAGCGTGCGCAATCCCCGCGCACGCGGGCAAAGAAACCGCTCTTACAGAAAAGACGCTCGTGTCACGGAGCGCTCGGCGCTTGTGACGCAGCAGGCTCCGCCACAGTATCTTCAAGGGCGGGCCAAGCGCTACCATACCATCCATCAGACACCAGGGTCGGAGTGCTAATGTGGAAGCTACTGTGTGGCAAGTGAATGGGAAAGCAACTCCTGCCCCAAGCCTGACCCTCTGAAACTGGGACTGGCTAGCAAGTGGATACTCTATCTATCAGCGTACAAAAGACCTCAAACATCATAAATGCCGATTCGTACAGCTGAACAGGTGTCCGCTGTTACGTGTGTGGCTGTATGTTCATGTGTCTCGCGCTCGCCCTCTTGTGCGTTTTTGACTGTCTACACAAAAAAAATCTTTGAAACAGTCTCTTTCCACTTGGCAGAGTAGGCGGGGGCGTTTGACAACCCCCAGGCAGGCATACAGGCAGGCAAGCAGGCAGGCGGGCAAACAACACAAACACACGCACACACACACACACGTACATACATACATACCTACCTACCTTACATTACATTACATTACATTACATACCATTGCATGCCATTACATACCATTACATGCCGTTACATTACATTACGTTACATGACATTACATACATCAATACATACAGTACATACATTACATACATTGCATACATTACATACATTACATACATTACATACATTACATACATTACATACATTCCATACATTACATTACATTACATTACATTCCATTACATTCCATTTACATTACGTTACATTACATTACGCTACATTACATTACATTACATTACATACATTCATACATAATACATACATGCATTACAGACATACATACATACATGAATACACACATACATACATTACATTACATTACATTACATTGCATTACATTACATACATACATACATTACATTACATTACGTTACATTACATTACATTACATTACATTACATACATACATTAAGTACAGTACATTACATACATACATACATCCATCCACCCATCCATCCATACCTACCTACCTACCTACCTACATACATACATACATACAATACATACATACATACATACATACATACATACATACATACATACATACATACATTACATACATACATACATACATACATACATTACATACATACATACATACATACATACATACATACATACATACATACATACATACATACATACATACATACATACATACATACATACATACATACATACATACATACATACATACATACATACATACATACATACATACATACATACATACATACATACATACATACATACATACATACATACATACATACATACATACATACATTACATACATACATACATACATACATACATACATACATACATTACATACATACATACATACATACATACATACATACATACATACATACATACATACATACATACATACATACATTACATACATACATACATACATACATACATACATACATACATACATACATACATACATACATACATACATACATTACATACATACATACATACATACATACATACATACATACATACATTACATTACATTACATTACATTACATTACATACATACATACATTACATACATTACATACATTACATACATACATACATACATACATACATACATACATACATACATACATACATACATTACATTACATACATACATACATACATACATAACATACATACATACATACATACATACATACATACATACATCCATCCATACATACATACATTGCATTGCATTGCATGCATGCATGCATGCATGCATATATACATACATTACATACAATACATACATCCATACATACATACTTGCATTACATTACATTACATTACATTACAGTACAGTACATTACACTGCATTACATGCATACATGCATACATACATACATGCATACATACATACATGCATACATACATGCATGCATACATACATACATTACATAGATACATACATACATACATACACACATGCATGCATACATCCATCCATACATCCATACATATATACATACATTACACGCATTACATTATTTACGCACTTACTTACTTACTTACATACATACATACATACGTACGTACGTACATTACATACATGCATACATTACATACAAACATACATACATACATGCATGCATGCATGCATACATACATATATACATGCATACATACATACGAGAGAGCGAGATTGGGGAGAGAGAGGCTTGGGGGGATGGGGAGGATGGGGAGCAGAGGGAGGGAGAGAGGACGTCAGAACACACAAGGGAGACAAGGGAGAGAGGAAGAAGGTGAAAAGGGAGAGGACAATGTCGGCGGACTGAGCCGGAGGCTGTAAAGTAGATTTTTTTTTAGTATATGTATTTCAATCTAAATTTTCAAAAAAATCGAGAATTTCCCATCGACCTAAAACAAGATCCCCGCCCAGATTACATATCCCCCACCACCCAAGCCTCAATTTTGCAATCTTGTAAATTATACTCCTTTTTATTATGTCAAACTAGACCTCCAGATAACCCATAATTACCCACCAACCCAAAACAGCACCCCCGAACAACACTCCCATAGCATATGGCCGTCAATATCGCTTTCACAAAAAATACACTATCAACATGTAACAAATTATGTGGTAAAAGCCTTACAATTTAAAACTAATCAACATTTTATGACCACACATAAATCAGACCCCTATGATATTGTGCAATAATACTGTGATCTTTCTGATTGTTTTGGCCCCAGCACCAGGCTAAAGGCTCAAAATGCTCCATTTGGACCACCTCTTGGTTGCCGGCCGTTCAAAAGCAGCCTGCATCACAAGCAGACTGCACAGGTCCTGCGATATCGCCGGCACCTGGCCGTAGAAAAAAACAGCCTGCATCACAAGCAGGCCGCGCATTCGTCCTGCAACACCGCCACTCATGGCATCTAAAACTTCGAAGCATCAGCCAAACGCACATACCCCAAAATCCTAATTAAACGTCATCGATGTGGCTGGTGGCTTGACAGACCTAGTGCCAGTCAAAAGTCATGACTTTACTGAGCACTTGGTGACTTCTTTGTTCCCGCCAGGAACAAGCGTCTCACACGCTCCAAGAGAAAGACAACGGGTCAAGGTGACAGCTGAGAAGCAAATCTGCACGAAGCAGTTTGTCAACTTTTGTTGGAATGGATGTCTCTGAGCAAAATGAAGCACCGCCGGAAACGATTTCTGTGCCTGGTGCTACTACCTTCCTCAGTCTCAGGTGATTTGCCAATGTTTAGCTCGACTCCCTGACAATGTTCTGTGCAATGGCTTCCCGCAATCAATGAGCAGACTTAAGACCGCTGGCTTTTTGCTAATGTCCCCTGTCACAAGGATGACCAAGAAAGCCGATGTCCCCTGCCAAAAATCCTGGATAGTGTTTGGCCAACTCTCTCAATGTCTCTCTCCAGCACACACGACGTGCTAAAATCCGCCGAGGCCCTTGACCCGCTAGCGATAAGATCAAGGGATCGACGGGAAGCGTCGCGACACTAGGCTTGATGTGAATGACCGGCGGATGCGCCTTTCATGTGTTGCGGGGTTTTATTCAAAAACTGCACGTATCGG